TATCATATATCAAACCTAAGCAACTGCATGTGTCTTGTAATACAACTCTTTAGTATTTCGTGAGAATTCATATGTTTGTTTAAATTTGTTAAACGATTCTTTAGAATATCTAACTGGCCACATATATGGAGAACTAACAGTCCGAGAAAATTATCAATTCCACTGTAGGACATCATGGCAAGAATAATATAAATAGATTGACTAATAAACGTTAGTTCATACTGTGGACTTTTGGTTACATCGTAAACATAATGAGTTTGTAGAGGCATTGGTCTGCCTGGATCAGTAATGTTGTTTGTGTTTCTCATCGATATTCCAAAGCTTGGTACAACGATAAGAAAAAAGCATCCTGCTCCCATCATGCAGTATGCAAATGTAATAATTATTCGTGCAATACGTGCCCTTTTGATCATTACGCTTCTTTCTTGTACACTTTTCAATTTTACCCAATCCTCCACGATCATATTCATGATCGATTGGATAGCTTAAAAAATGCAATATTAATATTTTTGAAAGTACTTAACAGATAAATATTATATTAAAATAGGGACTATCGCAAATTTCAAATAATAAAAAATGAAAAAATCCCTTTTTTGTATCCTTAACGAGAAAAATAATATTGTATTATACATTACAAAAATGTAAAACATAATTTTTATTGTAAACTCAATCTGTACAAATGCATGTAAATTTATTGTGATTTTCTATTAATACATTTTGTGTATTCATAATAATTAATACAACTGGATTATGCAAAAATAATGCTTTTATTTTTAAAAATAATTAATATATAAATATTTTCAGTATTTTCAAAAAATACAAATCGTATACAAATATAAATCCGTAATTTTAAAGATTAGAAGATATTTTAGTACAGTTTATTCTTCTATAAAAATGTACAGAGGCGGACAAAAAAAATTAAGTTTAAATTCGGTAGCTCGTGTATACGAGTATTAGTAGCTATAGTACTAGATTTTTGTATAATGTTGGTAACGTTAAAGTACTCCTTGGCATCTTGTCACTTAAATGACGTGTGGCTTCTTTTATTTATTTTACATTTCTTGTATTGTTTATTAACAATTTATTTTGTTTACAATTTCCGGCGGACAAAAATTATTCTATTTAAAAAAAGACAGTCGAAGTCGAATTATCGAAAAGTCTCGAAATTTATTGTTGACTCTATTCCGTAACGTTGATTAGTAATTGCCTTGCTGTGCTTACTTCGTAAGCGTCTGTCATTGCATATTTTGACAGTTGCATGCATTGAAGTTGATGTGTAATTGTAAATATAAAAAGTAAAAAGTGCAGCTAAGTAGCGCGCGCGAAGCATGCGTTTGTAGTGCTGGTCTATATAAATTTGAGCTGATGAATAAAAAGAAATAGAAAAATCAAGGCTTTAATTATTGTTTAGCAAATAGTAGATGTTTTTTTTTATTTTTACCAATACTCATATGCACGAGTACCGACTTTAAACTTTCTGATGTCCGCCACTGTATATATATATATACATATATATATATATATATATATGTGTGTGTGTGTGTGTGTGTGTGTGTGTGTGTGTGTGTAACTAATTTATATAAATAAATTTTCAGCAATATTAAAATATTAATATATGCTTCCAAAGACAAATATTAATTATAATGTAATTAATATATTTAAATGATACGTTGTCTACCGCATTTAATAGTTTACAGACAAAAATTATTTACCTTTTTTCTTCCACCAGAAAATAACGATCCTAATCAAGCAACTTATGGACGGTAAAGTAAATTGTAAATTATCTAACATTAATACAATATCTCCGAAAATTCTTGTTAAGGAATGTATAGAAGGAATAAGAAGGACCAGTATGATACCTAAAAAAACGACGAGCACTCGAAAATTGCACATTAACCTCTGTTGAAAATTTTGTTCAGTTTTAGGCCAGAGCCCAATCAAGTTTAAAATGAAACGATTCAGTTTCACCGCCCATTCAAAATCTACCTGCAAAAATCTTAATAAGTCTGAAATTTATTGAAAACCTTACCTGCGCCGTTTTTAAACATACGTAAATAAAACCACACACATTTTAATATACAAATAAAAAATATAAAATATAATTTAATTAGATATATAAAAAATTATTAATAAAAATTTAAAAATTTTTTACTTTTTAATAATTACACAAATTTAGTAAGCAGTAGATAACAACAATAAAAATTACTTTATATTTCAAATATCTATTAATTAATGTTTTGTTGCAATTGTTCAATAACTTAATATAAAATACTATCATAAAGAAATGATAATTTGAAAATTGCCATCATTAGTCGTGAATTATTATCGAAATATTTGTATTAAAATTTTCTCGATTACAGTCAAATAATCACGAAAATAAACACCTCGATATCCATTATATTTTGAAGTTTCCATGTCGAATGTTGTCTAACGACTAACATCTGTCCCTTTTTTCATGAATCGACGTTACCTCGTATTCAGTAAAATACGTGTCTCGCGCATGCTTTCAATTTTTGAGAGAGACAAACGATCAGCCTGTAACATAGTCATATTAAATATTCTGCACCCTCGTTTCAAGTTTCCATCATTTCAGCACCGAACATTGCACGAAACATTTGCGAACAAAAAATTACAGTGGTGGATATCATGTTGGCAACAGAAAGGGGTATATTTGCATCCGTTTCTTTCCCACGCTTCTTTAACCGGCTATAGCTTATAACTATAGTTATTAACAACAGGCTGTATACAATACCTTTACAATATTATCCTGTTAATGATTATTGCTGTAGCAAATTGCGCCCATCACATCACATTTTTCTCCATTATTTTGTTTGCAATTCTATATAATCTTGTGTCATTGTTAATAAATTGAATGATCAATGATTAAATAAGCTTCGAAATAGTAAGATTATCACTTGTAAAAAAAATTACATAATTTGTTGTATTAATAATAAATATTTTTCAAATCATACAGTTCTACTTTATTCACATATATATATTTCTCTCAACAAATATAAGTTGTCCTATCATTTTAGCAACAAGTAATTCCTAAAGATAGCTATGCCTATTCGCTCTACAGTGTGACAACAATTTCAATAGAAATTATTAGCAAAGAAAATGTAATACGATTGTTTAATGTAAATATCATAGTATGTAGTAAATGAATAATATAAGCTCGATATACATACTTACAGTTTAAGATGTACATAAATAAGCTAAAATAAAAAATTTGACTTTTATTTATTAAAATGTAATATACGGATTATACAATAATTTTTTAAAAAATTTTAATGACAACCCAAAATTTTAATGGAATAATTAAAGTCAAACATTAAAATATCTTACAATACATTTGGTCGTAGTAACAGGAGATATTTTTTCAACAGCAAGATAGATTGGTTTACAGAACTTCTTGTCTTTAATTAAAAAGAATGAATTTTCTATATTTTTATAATTTAGAGACCCATTTGTTGATATACACAGCATAATATATTTTATTGCATTTGAAAGCGTTAAAAACATTTATGGGTTAAAATTATACACTTATAATATATCATACGTGCAATGCTACTTGTAGGCAAAAGTGCTTGGTAGGCAATCAATTTGTAGACAATAATTTTTGTGCGCAAACGAACTGTCGGCAAATGTGATGTAGGCAGACGATGCTGATGGCAATGAATTTGTAGGCAAGAGGGGACTCTCCCTTACAAAACTACTTTTTGAAAGTATTGAACGATCAACTTGCAAAAAAGTATTTTAAATATTCTGCTTCTACTTTCGCTTCAAATTTCCATCAAGTCTCCAATACCGATCATCGGGGATAGCAATTGCAAATAAAAAATTGCATCGGATGGATATGTTGACGAAAAAAGCATGCACATAAGTACATCAGTTATATTCCCATTTCACTTCTAATCCTCTGTTGTCTATAACTGTTGCTTATAGTAATGGACTATATAGAACTTTGTGCATCGCTTTTATGGTTTCTATTTTTTTTTACTTTTAACAATTTTTTGCTCTTATATTAAGTTTTTTAAAATAAGTGCAAAACATAAAAGTGTATTAAAACAATTGTTAAAATTAAATTAAATAAATTACAGTTTTGTGCAGGGTTTTAATGTTTATTAGAATTATTAGGTATTATTAAATTGAATTCAATTTAATATGAATTGAATTAGGTATTATTATCTATAGCTATTACCTATAGTATTATTACCTATACCTATATATGTATATAATTAGGTATATTGATATTAGGTATTATTAAATTGAATTCAATTTAATATGATCTTATTTTATTCCAGCTGTAGTTTTAATTGCGTTGTAACATAATCGACGTACCGTTTAAATAATTAAAAAATGTATTTAACATTACAAATGTATTTAACATATAAATATTAGGCATCAGATTCAGCCTTAATTGTTAAGGTTAACACGTATAAAATAAATAGTTAAAGGAGGAATATTAACTTACATTTTAGCGAATGTAGATATCTCTCGAGATTCAATTTAAATTCCCCAACATTAACTTTACATTACTTAATGTATTATTATTATTATTATTTATAATGGAATAATAGAAAAGAGCGGTCATGGTGCAAAGAGTTGCGTGATTTGACGGCTTTCTATACCAGGGATCCAAATTCAAATCCATCCCAGAAAAACAACTAAAAATCGATTATTTAATCGATCTGAGAGCAATCGCCACCTCTCGGAGGACGACGGCATCGCTGAGAATATCTCTGCCAAGATAATATTCTAATAATATTCTAATATTCTTAAGAAAGGAGGATGAGCAGTCTCATAAAGCCTAGTATACGTGACACCAGGGCTGAACAGTATCCCTCTCTCTCTCTCTCTTCTATTGTTTGAAAAAAAGGCTGAAATTGCTAGCATAAATCTCAGAAATCAGCGGCGTGTCATAGTGAAACATTTAGATCTGGATGATGTAGAGCCCTTCGTAGGACCACCCGTATCATAACGATTAATAGATATACAATATTTTACTCGAATAATGCATTAAGATATATTTATTTGCAAATAACATGTTAATCTTGGTACAATTCTATATCGTATTCTGTAAAAATTGCATAATATTGGTAAAAAGTTTTCATTTTCTACACTTTTTTATCACCTTCTTGTTGTATGCAAAACGGACATATAACCAACAGACGTTTTTAGTAACTGGAAAACATCTTTTAATAATAATACAGTTGACAATATAAGCTTAATAGTTAAATAATTGTAAATGTCCAAGCATATATAAAATAAAAAATTTTAATTTTACATATTAAAACATAACATAGAATATAAAATATATAGATTCTACAATAAATTTTATCATAGTCAAACATTAAAATATCTTACACCGCAAAATGTGGCCATTGTAACTGGAGACACTTTTCCAACGGTGAGATAAATCGGTTTAGAACCTCTTGTCATTAAGACCAACAAATCTTCGGCAACTTTTGGATCCATGACGTACCATTCACTACTATATGCCGCATAATATATTTTATTGCACTGAAAAAATTGAAAGTACTTTTAGATATCAATTATTATATACATTATAATGATTTTGTCCTAAAAGTGATGAGACTATAGTTTTTGTG